TCGGTGGCTCCGTGCATTCTCCTGACTATAAATAATCTGACGTGATTGAAGCCATCGCGGAGTGATAAAAGCGGTGGCTTGGAAGGTTGCCAATAACGAGATAATTCGGACTGTGTGGACGGTCCATTGTGTGCTTTGTTGTGTGAGTGGCTGACAGACGAACTGATAGTCAGGCTGTAATGGCTCCTTCTTAATATGGCCTTTATGACACTTCCACTCAATTGGGATCCTAGCTAGATGTGGCGGTACGCATGGGGGCGGTTTCGGCTGCGCCGCTACCTGCGCCGGATCCCGCTTCCAGTCTTCTTGACGCTGTGACGCCCAGGTGAGTGAGAGAAGAAAGAGTACGGCAGATGCTGCACATGTCTATTATCACTTAAAACTAATCCATGCGCAAGTCACCATCCCTGCACCACCCTGTTGAGGAGTGCAAGGCGGACATCGACGAAATCGACGATCGAACTGTCGCTGATGGTGGTGGTGGCGGTCGTGGTAACTATCAAGGGAAAGCTGCGGTCAAAAGAGACCTGCAGTCTTTATAAATGGAGTGCAGGAGTTTCACCGATTCCTGACCCCGTCAACTCCGCAAATTCGACTACATCAACGCCGAAGAACAGCTCACGGAAGCAAGAACACATGCACTTAAAAGAATCTGCGTAGTCTCAACTTAAGGGTGAGCAATAAAAGAAACTGGGAAATACCTTGATAGATTTGAAGAAGGATCCGACCGTATTTTCGACTGTTTTATATGCGTCAGTATGTCTAAAAGGTGAAAAGAAGTCCAGATTTAGGTGATAGCTCAAGTATAATCGCAGTAGCAAGATTGTAAACGAAAGCACAGCAGGCACCGAAACACACAAGACATCGACTTGGATCAGTAAATCGGCTCTGAAATAAAAGAACGTCATTTAGGCAAGGTTAAAAAAGTGTCCAGTAGAAAACCTAATCCAAAATTCGCCTACACCTAGTGGATAAGCATCTGCCGAGTCGCCTGCATTAATCACCCATAAAGTTGTCACTACGCCCTGTATGCACATATAGGATGTGACCTAGATTAACGAAATCCTCTAACCAGGCTGAACGCAATCGGAACGCGTCTACCAACACTAAATTAATATAGAACGACCTTCAAGTCAAGGAATAGGCAAAAACAAGAAGTGCAATTATTATTTCATTAAATAGGTAAAAATAATGCCCTTCAGAAAAACGAAAATTAGTAGGGGGAGGCGGGGATTGGCAGATTTGAATAATTTATTTGACCCCCTTGTGAATAACTCAGCGGTCTCGGCGGGATTTGAAAATTGGTTAGCCAGGGAAGGGCTTCAGTACAGCCAAATGCTTTGGCCATCTGAGCTACTGGGCTGTACTAAAGCCTTACCTTTACTAGCATGGATTCTAATCCCGCCGGGGCCGCCGAATTTTTCACTACTAGGTCAAATGACGTTCCGAAGTCAAAAGTCACCATGTCACTGCACATTCAAAGAACGCCACAATATGCACAACAACGGTACATCTGCTTTTGAGGAGGCGCCGAGAGGGAGAGGGGGGAGGGTGGGTGTAGAAGCAAAGTTAGTTACAGCCCGAATTGTAGCATTCCAGAACTTTATCCAAAAGAACTCCAACAACGAACCGGACGTTTGTCCATTGCTTAGATACCACCTCGGAGGTCTTTGAGGCAGCAGTCTTCACCGCGCTTGTAGTCTTCTGGTAGCTAAACGGATGGAAAGAAAAGTATAAGGGCAAAGCCACCAAGAAGTTGCACTCTATAACAACAAATACGAAGAAGAAGAAAAAAAGAAGATAAAGCGGAAGAAGAGGAGGACGACGAAGACGACGAGGACGATGACGAGGACGAGGAGGACGACAATAAAGAAGAAGAAGAAGCAGCAGCAGAAGAAGAAGAAGAAGAAGAAGAAGAAGAAGAAGAAGAAG